TTATCGCCACTCATCACTGAGAACTACCATTGAAAGAGCATTTTTGCATCTGAAGAAAAGATGGAAGATACTTCACAATATGCCCAAAATGAAAGAAGAGCATCAACAAGCAATTATTTTCTCTACTTTTACACTTCATAATTTTATCAGCATGTGCAAAATGGGAATGCCAATTTATGAACATGATGGGAATGGAGAAGGCATGGTTGATTCGGATATGTTCAACAATGGACGAAAAGAAGCTATGAACAATGTTCGCGTGAAAATTGCGAAACAAATTTGGGAAGACGTTCAGAAACTCAGAGCAACGGATGCATGATGATATTTACTATTTTATAGTACTTTTTTTGTTCTAAAAAGATTTATAGTTTACTCATTATTCATACAATTTTTTTACAAATCAAGATCATCTATATTATTCTGTCACTTGTATGACTTAAAATACGAACAGACTAAACCAAACAATAATAAAATAGTAAGTGTACTAATAATAACAACAACAACACTACTACTAGTTATAATAATAATAATAATAATAATAATAATAATAATTATTATAATAATAATAGTAGTAGTAATAATAGTATTAATAGTAATAATAGTAATAATACTACTACTAATAATAACAATAAAAATAATAATAATAATAATAATAATAATAATAATAATAATAATAATAGTAATAATAATAGTAATAATAGTAATAATAGTAATAATACTACTAATAATAACAACAATAATGACAATAACAACAACAACAACAACAATAATAATAATAATAATAATAATAATAATAAAATATGGTCTGGTCTATTCTGGCCTGGTCTGGTCTGGTCTGATCTGTTTGGGTCTGGTCTGGTCTGGTCTGGTCTGTTTTGGTCTGGTCTGATCTGGTCTGGTCTGGGACAAATTACAGTCCAAGTAAAAACAACCTTACCCTTATTTTGGGTGGCAATTTTGCCTCCAAAAGTTGTAGCCACACAGTTACTTTATATTATATAAACATAAAGATGACTAAAATACCTTCTTAGAAATAACAAATCCATAAAAACTAAATGAATTGAGATCATGGTTGATGGAGAATTAGTAAGTTTTGATTTTGTTGATGTGGCAATGATATGGCAAAAAAACACATTAAAAACCGAATATTTGAGGATCATGGATGGAGATGTTCTAACATATCTAACTGAATAGAGTTGAATATATCATAATTCTGTCTTAATCACAACTTGGTCTTTTTTTAGAGAGAAAGATCATAACTTTTTCTTATATACTGAAAATATGACTCTTTAAATATTTACTCCATATTATATATACGATATATATAGACTAAAATAAAAAGGTGACAACTCTGGTACTCATTTAAAAATTGAGGTATCGTACCTACTATTCACTTAATTAGTTGATTGGTCCAAATCATTATATCAATGTTAATTTAGATTTAAATAATTACATTATAGCATTTTGATTGGTCCATATGGATTAACTGGGTTTTCAAAGACATTTTGGTGTGGTAGGTCTTAGGCACAAAGGAGATTTTAGTCGATGGAGTAACGGATTCCTCTTTACCCTGCGAGTTTCGTAGGAGACTAAATTAAGTAAACTTTTAATTTTGCTCACCAACTTATCATAATAATCACAATTCGTAATGCTTTAGTAGCTTTTCATTCCTAGCTAATTGGCTGAATTCAGTGTATATAACAATGTTAGTTGTTTTCATGTAATTTTTTAGATTTTCAAAAGTAATACAAAATGAAATTTCTTGGGAAAAATTTGACTAATACTACCTCCGTCCCAATTTACTTAGCCAAACTTGACTTTTCAAATCAACGGCGTCTAACTTTGATCAATTATTTTAACTAATATATTTATGCAAAATTTAATAATTTTATACTTTTATGTTAGTGTTTTTAACAAAGAACATTTTCGTATCATTTTCATATTATCAATATTTTCTCTATATAAACATATAATCGGTCAAAGTTAGATGCCGTTGACTTGAAAAGTCAAGTTTGGCTAAGTAAAATTGGGATGGAGGGAGTAGTTATTATAATATAGTCTCACAGTCACTAGCTTAAGTATAAAAATTGAAAATAAGTTACTTTGACTAAGTTACTATACTATAGTAATACACTTAGAAGGTCATATTTTTGTAAACCACATTTACTTCAGCCATATATCTAATTATTTAATAATTTTTCTCTATTTTATTAATAAAACATACGAGTTTTTTCCTAAAATAATGTTCTAAATAAAAAATAATTACCAAATTAATGTTGAGTTAAAAGTATTTTCCAAAATACTGTTGGAAAAACTGCCACTTCAAGTGGCCGCTTAGGCAAGTATTACGTACATTCGTAGATCAATACTGGCAAGCATGTGGTTACCAAATTCAAAAACACCTATTTTGTTTAAACGAGTATAACTATTTTATTTGTATTCCGATTGTTACAACAAATACAAATATTTTTTTAGAAAATATATTTTTAATGCAGTTGGTTCAATGATGTTATATAAATCATATTTAATAATTGCATAGTGGTATATGTGATATTTTCTAAGTAATGCACCTTACATGAGCCACACGAGCGGTTTTTTGCGCCTCGGACGATGAGAGTACCCTATCGCCTTGAGCGCGCCTTGCGTCTTTGACTACCTTGGGTGGGTGTCTACTATATTGCAGCAAGTTGTATCATTCTATGTCACATGCAGACATTGAAGGCATATTTGTTGAAAATTAAACTTGTTTTTGGGAGTACCACCAGATTTGTCTTTCTTTTGGGTAATACGGCTTTTACTTGGAGTTCAAAGAAACAACCCATTGTGACCCTCTCCACATGTGAAGCTGAATATGTTGCCGCCAGTTCATGTGTTTGCCATGGTATATGGCTTCGAAATCTATTCAAGGAAATAGGCATGCCACAAAAGGAAGCTACGGAGATATATGTGGATAATAAGTCGGCAATAGCATTGGGAAATGAAAGAATCCGGTATTCCATGACCGTAGCAAGCACATTGATACATGCTATCACTACATTCGAGTAGGGATGGACTGGGCCGGGCCGAACCGGCCCGCTACTGTGCGGGCCTCGACCGGATCAGGCCCGGTTGGCCGGTTCCGGGCTTTTAGCCCGTGTGGGCGGGTCGGGCGGGCCGGGATCGGGCCCGGGCCCAGTTTTGGGCGAACCGGCCCGGGCGGTTCGGGCCGGGCCCGGGTCAATTTTTTTTTCAATTTTTTTTTCTTTTCCTAGGGTTGGCTGGGTGTTTTGGGGAGGTTTGGGGGTGGGGTGAGGGGGGGGGGGGTCGGGGGATAACAAGAAAGCAAAAAAAAATTAAGTGTTGAACCGGGCCCGGCCCGGTTAGGCCCGGACCCGGTAGCAACCCGGGCCGGTTCCGAGCCCAAGGAATTGCAAAAAAAGCCCGCCCGGGCCCGGCCCGGAACCGGAACAGGCCCGGCCCGGGTCCATCCATACATTCGAGAATGCATTGAAAGAAAAGAGGTTGAAGTAAGGTATGTAAGGTCTCATGATCAAATCCCCGACATTTTCACGAAGCCGCTCAAGCACGAAGATTTTCGAAGGTTGAGGACCATGCTCGGAGTTACAAAAACAAGTTTAAGGGGGGATGTTGAAAATTAAACTTGTTTTTGGGCCTCATTAATATTTAGTTTTAGTTGTTGGGAAGGCCCAAGTGATAGAAAAATGTAGAAGGAATAAATTCTAGAGCTTCTCTAGAAGATATGTATGGTCTCTAGAACTCTCCTATCATTAATTGTATAGAATTGTCTAGAATGCATTAATTTTTTTTCCCCGAAAATAACCACCCGTGGTGGTGGGAGTGTCGGGGAACACTACCCAAATTTATTAATAATAAGTAGATTACAAACAAGTTTCAGAAACAGTAGAGATACCAAAAAACATGCAGTCAAATGCTGAAATAAACCGGGGTTTAACAATTGAAGTGTTTTGAAGGTATCCCAACTGTAGCTGAAATGGATCTATTATATCTGTTGTGGAACTGAATAGCCCTTTGGAGATAGGGTTGGTAGGTTTTTTCTTCCGGTTTAGAAGATCTGTATCGCGTGAGGGCGGCAGCTAGTTTGTGTAGGGAGTCTAGCCTCTCATCAATAGGGTAAATGTAATAGTCATCTTCATGTTACGGGCGTCTAGATTGACTTCTTGTGATCATCGGGTGTGAAGCGTACCCCACCTCGTAGAATAGTTGTTTGGGTTCCGGTATTCCGTTTGGGGGCAGCGCACAATTGTCTCTATTTTTCTTTGCTATCACTGGAGTAAAGCTGTCTAGGTCCACCTGTGGTGGTGAAAGTGGATGACCTGCAATAGAATAGTTAGTAATAAGGGCGGGGGGGGGGGGGGGGGGTCCTCAGATATGTTATCATCATTGGACCGGGGTGGATCAAGAGTAGTATCCGCAGTGTTAATTGCTAAAGATGAATCAGAAAGTTGATCTTCATTTCCAAATTTAGCATCATTGGGGATTCCAAGATCAGGGCCTGCACAAATAGTATGAGCTCCCGCGCTGCTATCATGAAGAGGCTGGGCCACTGATTTGGAACCTAGGTCAAAGCTAAGTAGCACCGGGACGGAAACGGAAATGGGGACGGAAACGGGGATGGGGAAACGCTAAACTCAAAATATTAGGAAACGGGTACGGCAAGGAAACGTCACACTAGAAATTAATTTTTTTATTAATATAAGTAATGCATATGTCTAACAACCCAGAAAATAATTAAACAAAACATACATCCTTGTTATAATCCATTCTACAAGCACAATAAATAAAATTTAAAAAGCACTACGTAAATGTTTCATTCAGTGATAAACACTCTCTCTAATTCCGGCTCATCTAAGGATAAATTAGCAAACTCCGAATAGCCCATTTCTTCCAAATTGCCGAACTCGTCTCCTCCAACATCCCACATCTTGGTCTTCTCATCTGCATATTGCTCAGAACTCCTTGACAAGAGGCGAAGATTGTTCTGCACAAACACCAAATCTTCAGCACGCTTAGGAGTTAACTTGTTCCGCCTAAGTGAATGGATAAAAGAGTAAGTACTCCAATTACGTTCACATGATGATGAAGATGTAGGCTGACCAAGAACTCTAAAAGCGAGCGTTTGTAGGATTGGTGTTTGAGCACCAAAGTTAGCCCACCAACTTTTAGGATCTGTGTTTCCCCTCTTTGAAAGAGATGTAATATCTGCAAAAGGCCCTGTCTTAAGTGAAAACGAAGCAAACTCCTCTAAAACCATATCGTAATCATCACCATTTGGAAAGAGCCTTCGGAAGCATTTCATCCTTTCTTGGGAGATCTCACCATCCCTATGAGGAGGGACCCTAGCGGGATCCGCAGCAAGCCAAACTTCACTATAAAACCTATTACAAAAATAATAACAAACCAAACTTTTATATATATATATATATATATATATATATATATATATATATATCATGTTTAACTAATAATGATACCTTGGGTTCAATGAATGGGCTAAGCAGTGAAGCGGTGTAGAACTCTTTGCCCAACGTGCCACAAGAATATTATATACTACTTGGTAGAAAGCACTATATTCATCGAGAGACTTTCCTTCATGCTTATAGATTTCCACTTTGACTTTTTCAATCATGGAATCCCACATCTCATATACCAAATGGAGGCACGCCCTATCAGTATCACATGCTCGAATCATACTATAGATGGGATCCGAAAAGGCAAGAATATAATCAATTTGCTCCCACCAATACTCACTTAAAATCTTCTCCCTCACAAACCTTGCTTTGCCTTGGTCATCCTCACGATATGATGCCCATTCATCACTCAACACCATAGCCTCCAGACCACGTCTAATAAGCTTAAACCTCTTAAGCATTACAATTATAGAAGCAAATCGTGTGTCCGCCACAGAAAGTAATTTAAGGGAGATGAATTTGTTAAACATGGATAACATCATAGTATGATTCATGATGAAATTTTTTATGTGAACAACATCACCATGGATTTCAGTGATCCAATGACATTCATCATAAACTTCTGTTTTATTCTCCACATTCTTTGCAGCACATATGTTCTTTAAGGCAAGATTTAAAGTATGCACTACACAAGGTGTCCAATAGATGTGGGGATACATACCTTCAATGATTTCTCATGCACCCTTGCAATTCACAGCATTATCAGTGATTACCTGCACCACATTTTGATGACTTATCTCATCAATTACTTCTTTCATCAAATTAGCAATGAATTCTTTGGATTTAAATTCACCCATACAATTCACCGCTTTCAGAAACATGGGACCACTTCCAGAAGTTGCCATAAAGTTAATTATACGTCTTCGTTGCGGATCACTCCTACCATCAGTTGCAACCGTCACTCCTCTTTCTGGCCAAGTAGCTTTGAGTGGTTGTAATAACCTCTCAACATTTGCTTTCTTTTGTTGAAGTAAAGAAGTTCTTAATTTATTATAACCCGGGGGGACATAACCTCCTAAATTATGATTGACAGCAAAGGAAAAAGCTCTTACATAATATGGATTCCTAGCAAGATTAAATGGCAATCCTCCAGTAAAAAACATCCTAGCAATTTCTTCATCTAATCTCCCTCTAGCATGCATATCAAAAGCTTTCTCCAACGGACTACTACTAGCTTTTCTTTTATTAGGTAAACTAGTATTACTTATCCAATCCGTTTGTGATCACGCTGAAGGTAAAGGAACATCTTTAGGTGCAATTTTTTTTTTTCTCAACTTCTTCTTCTAACTTTTTCATCTCACGAATATCATTAGGTTGGACCTTATTGCATATAGCAATTTCTTGTTTTGAAATTTTAAGCAAGTGAGCTCTTACTCTAGAATAAGATCCTTGTTTTATGCTATTACAGAAATTACATTGGAATCTCCATGTCCCTTCTGTATCAGCACTTTTACCTAATTTGGTAACAAATTTCCACAAAGGTGTATTATCAACACCAACAGAAGAACTCCCTGAAGAACTGGCACCATCACTAACTTGTGAAGTATGTTCCATATTTGAGGATAAATAAAGGGTTGGTAGTGTGGTACTTACTAGTTACTAGAAGTCTAGAACTGCAATTGAAATTGAAGAGAAGTAGAGAACCAAAGTACCAAACCTCCAAACCCTTTTCTTTTCTTCCCAGTTCGCCCTTTTCTTTCGCACTTCCCAGAAATCGCACAAACTTTATTAATCCCCTAAACCAGCACCTCAGCAGAATCGCAGAACCAAAGAACCAAAGTACCAAATGTTCAGCACTTCAACACCCAGCACGGCGGCAGCACCTCGTTCGCACTTCGCAGAAGCGCCGTTTTCTTTTCTTCCCAGTTCGCGGTTCAACACTCTGTCTCCTTTGACCTTGGCAGATTCTTCGTTCGTAGTCCGCAGAGTCTTCGTTCGACGGCTTCGACGTAGAGTCTTCGTTCGACGCAGGGTAAGCCATTTAATTAAAGCCTTTTTTTTAAAGTTGCTGCGGAAACGCCTAGGCCCAAGCCCAGCGACGTTTCCGAAACGTTTCCCAACCCGGCCCAGAAGCCCAACCTTGCAGAAACGTTTCCGGCCGTTTCCATGGAGTTTCCGGCCGTTTCCCGGCGTTTCGCGTTTCCGAAACGTTTCCGGGACGGAAACCTCCCCTTACCCGGCGTTTCCGTGCTTCCTAGGGTCAAAGTTTTGAGCTACTGCCCAGAAAGAAGTGACAGGAGCATGGTTATCAGGGGCACAAGAAGCACCATCAACTGTAACTGAAGCTGCCTGCACATGTTTAACCGAGGCTGTAGCACAAAGAATCTCAACAGAATTAGGGCCTGCAGTGCCAGCTACTGCCTGCACAAGTCTAACCGGGCCTGCATCACTATGAACTGCAGCAGAATTAGAGCTTGCAGAGGCAGCAACAGCCAAAAATTCACATATATATACACATACATATATATGTGTATATATACACACATACAAAAATTCACAAATATATACTACGTGTATATAATATTTATAAAAGAACCCCTATATTTTTAATATTTGCGCGTTTCCCCCACGTTTCGTGTCCTGTATTTTTGGCAAATGGCGTTTCCGACGTTTCCTGTTTCCCGTTTCCCGTTTACCGTTTCCCGTTTCCGTGCTACTTAGCAGCCAACACATGTGTTGCAGCACTATGAGCAACTGCAGTGCCAGCAACTGCCTGCACCGGGGCTGCCGAACTATCATAACCTGCTTTGCCAGCAACTGCCTGCTCCGGGGGTGCAGCGCAATCAGGTGTAGGAGCAAGAGAACAAGGGGCAGAAAAATCTGCGAGAGGGGCACCAGGGGCACCAAAATCAATAACAGAAGCTGCGGGGGCAGCAACATCGAGGTGAACAGGGGTACTAGAAGCACCAACAGATGTTACCTTGTTAACAGGGGCGGTAGTAGTACCAAGCTGTGAAACACAAGTAGTGTGGACTGTCGTAGTGTTACCAGGTTTAACAGAGAGAGCATTAACATCAACTAAAGAGCCTGCAAGGTTAATAGGGTCACATGGAGCATATGGAGTACCCGAATCAATAGTAGCAGCTGCAGTGTCATTAACAGGTGCATTAGGAGCATCAACAAAAGGGGCACAAACAACCTGGCTCTCTTCAACTAAAGGAGCCTTTTGACAATCAACAACCTGGCTTTCTGCAGTTTTATTAGTTACCAACGGGATAGTAACAATCAAAGGCCCAAAATCGGCCTGGACAGGGGCAGTATCCTCACCAAAAACAGGGGCACTGGAAGCAACCAAAACCTGGTTTTTGGTGAAGTTCTGCACCAGAGACGTGGTTGTGCCGGGGCATACCACAAAAGAGTGTCCAAAACGAGAGCAAGAACGACAGAAGGTAGGTACATTTTCATACACCACTGACTGGAAAAAACCAGTTGCACCATTTCCAATCCAAATTTTTTGGGGTAGGTCAAGAGAAGTATCCATCTCAATGCAGATTCTTGCAGTGGATGGTCTGGAGAAGTTCGCGGTCGGTGCATCAATTCTGATGGGGTTTCCCAGCAGCTTAGCTACAGATTTTAGATAGTGAATTGAGAGCTTTGGAGGTCACCGGGAGGTTCACAATGAAGATTTGATGATAAAGGAGCTCTAGGATTGGCTATGAGATCAAAAGAAGACGAATTGAGCTTGAAAATGGCGATAAGGGTGACCTTCTGTCAATCATTGAAGCATATCTCTTTGTAGAAGCATTCAAAGAACACGATTCAAGTCCCATATCAAAGCCAACTTCAATTTCTACAAATCGTATGAAGACACCATTGCAAGAATCGTAGAGGAAGAAGGTGAAAAATGACGATGAAATCAGATAATTCCTGTTGCGATTTCAGAATGAGACCTTCCACCATTTTATTCATATCTCTTGATTGGATGATTCAAATCCAATTCGGCAAGTTGGGGTGGATAGAGGACTTCATTATCTACAACGTTCATGAAGGAAGTTTTGTCAAATTCGAATTAGAGAAGCCGGAAAACTCACTGGAAGCGACCCACGCGTGTGTGGGAGGGACGCACGCGTGCGTCCAGCGTTTTTTACGCGCAAGTCTGTCGGACGCACGGGCACCACGCACGCGTGCGTGGGCGCCGTGCGTGCCCCCTGGAATCCTAATTTCGTCCGAATTGCTCCGTTTTTACTAATTAAACAGCCTGTAAACCCCTGTTTTGAGGGGGGGCTTAGAGTGAGGCCTATGGACGAAATTTCTTCTACTTTTCCATCTTGTTCTTCAATTCCCTTGAATTATTTGTAAGTTCCATCTTTTTAATTAATGATAATTAATTCTATTCTTCCCAATTCTATTGATTCTTCAATTATGAGTTGTGAGTAGTTTTAATTATTGATTTGGGATTGATGAAGGGGTTAATCATGATGTATGACTAGTTTCTTAATGGATTAATTGCATGAATGCCGTTTAATTTGTGTTTGAACAATTTAATTGCTATCTTTTGTAACCTGGAACCGCGGCTAGACTTACAATTGCTTGTAGAATAAATTAAGAGAGATCTAATTTATTCTGAGACACATTCACACACTTAATCGCTCGCTGAGAGATTAGTAGCGATTAAGGAGTCGTAAGCTCGCTCGTTTTGGAAATAATTTAGGATCCTGTCGCATGTGAGATCAGCATGGTCCTCTAAATTATTGTACTCTACGCCGCGAGAGCGGTAAGAACTTAGTATTGATTAGCTAGGCTCAATTAAATTAATTTCATGTAATTAAGCCTGATCTGCCAAAAATCTGATTACCCCGGAATCAATCCATGTTCCCTACTGTCATTAATTAGAAAGAACCCATTAATTTAATTTCTTTTATTTTAATCGTTCATTCGCATTAGTTAATTTTTCCAATCAATCAAATCTCGCACGATGCATTTATTTTATTTATTTTTAATCGCTGGATTTATTTAATTCTTAATTCTCTTTTGTCCGTCCCTGTGGAGACGATACTCGTACTTACACCACTATTCTACAATCTATTTTAAGTGCGAGAA